AGAAGTGCTGGCACTTGCGCAAAGGACTGATTTTGGTCGTATGAGATGGACCCGACCGAAGCACGTGCCAGAGGGGTGTCAGCTTCAGTTGGTTTGTAGCTCTGGCTGTGTTTAGAATGATGCATCACTGCAGCTGGGGCTGTGCAACCCCCGCTACTACTGAACTCCCCTCTCTTGGCTTACACGTCGCGAATTTAGGTGCCACGGCTAATCACACGACTTTTACAATTCAGTTCATGACCTTTTATGGTGCATTGGTGATGTAACAGGAATTTATAACATTTGGGAAATTTCTTATTGTAACTTGTATTTGTAATGCCTGAAAATGGTCCATGTATCACGTGTAATTATTTGAGAAATACTAACAAATTTTCAAGAAATTTGTGACTTATGCAGGCTCTTGTATAGTCACATTGATTTTTTGTGTTTATTGATCTATTCGAATTGCATTTCATTGCAACCATCGATAATTATTTTATTATGGGTTTCGTGACTTTTTGATCAACCTGTACCTGTTATCAGTAGTGTGGTTAAATGAAAGAAGTTGAGATGGAGCACGTGTTTCCTGCAACTTCATCTTTAAAATTTTATATGCTTACATAAATTGAAACCACTTAACAACAGCTTTCTGGACTTTCATCGTTATAATCTTATAATTATTTGAGTGCTTTCGAGTAACAGTAAGAGTGTCCCAGTCTGGAAAAGATATGCTGGTAATCCAATTCAAGTTTAAATTTTTTTTTTCATAAAGTTTTAAGCTGAAACCTTGCAGGAAGTTTTATTGTGACTAAGGAGACATCTGTACATCCTAGGCACACAGATTTGGATTGCATTGTTATTCTGTTGTAGTAGGTCTAAAGAAAAATGATATGCAAGGACTTCACAATAGTGCAGTGAGAGTAATGATTTACTTTAATTTCACTGTTTAGATCAGAAAATTATTCATTGTCCAGTTTTCTGAATATCTTTTTTTGTGATAGATGGTACATGATGTCACCATTTTTTATTATCAGGTTTTGTATGTTTCACCATTAATATACTTTGTACAGTGCTGAATTGATTTTAGAAACAGTTAACTATTATTACCCAAGGTTTCACAGGTTACCTTTTCTGCTAAACCTTGGGTAGTGAAAGTTAACAGTAATGTTAAACCACATCAATTTGTTCTGTGGGTATTAGTCTACTGAAATTTGAATGGTTTCCTTTTTTCAGCGCTTGCATTTCCTTCGTTCTTGTTTGAGGTGGTCCACGATCATCTGAAAAGCAAACTTACTAGCCGCAGGTTTGACAGCAAGTGGGGAGCACAGTCAGACACCATTGACGTAACACTCAATGTAGAGCAAGCTTTGTATACAAGAGATGCTTTGGCCAAGGGCATCTATGCACGGTTGTTTGATTACCTCGTGAAAGTAAGTATCATATTATTAAATGAAATAATTCTTGAAAACTTCCTTTGGAAGCTCTTCCTCAGAGGCTTTTCATTATTTTTCTGTCCCTCTCTGGATCATCCTGATGTATCATTTGCAGTTATCCTATCATATACATAATTGCAGCGGGCGATCCATCTTCGTCGTAACTCAACCAGTGAAACTTGGTAGTTGCTGCTCCTGTGTGGAGTTTTCAGTTTGTAAGTAGATCAAGGTGAGGTAAAGTTGCTTCCCGTCCTACCAATGTCCAAATAGATCTCGAAGCTTCACGCTAAGCCTCGGACGGAGGCGAAAGATTGAAGAGGCCAAGGTTCAACTTTGAACTTTAGTGCCAAGAAAAAAAAGTTGTTTCCGGTGATGATAATTTTTTGGGTTTTGGTACCGTGTAGACTCATTGGTTCGAAGAAACGCACATACTATCTTCATCTTCAGAACTTAAGTGGTGGTGCTGGGAAGTGAAGGTTTGAGGAACCTAAGGCTGAGGGAGTGGACCAATCAGGAATAAGGAATGAGGAAAAAAGGTCCAGGCTAATAGGAGCTGATGCTCCTATTACACCATGTCATCCAGATAATGGGCAATTGAAGGTATAGCCTCACTTCTTAACCACAGAACTAAATGGAGGTGAGCGGTTACCTTCATGCCTTGGCCTCTTTACCCCGAGGAAAGAATTTCAGTATCTGTTGATAACGGTAGGTGGGCCCCAAAACCGGCATGGACATTGCGGCAAAGAAAAAGATCCTGCCTTGTTGAACATAAAACCCCAGTCACCTAACCCACAGCCTAGGAAATATCAGCTGGCGCTTTTCATTTTGATTGTTCTTTTTATGATTTACCTTCCTTTGAAAGAAAATGACAGGATGGTACAGTCAAACTCATTTATAATGAGAGCTCGGATATTGTGAGCAAACGGAGAAGAGTTGGTTGAAAATATGTATTTTTTGAGCGACATTTTACGGTTAAAGTGATCGTGGTGGTTGAGAGCTTAACAGGTATAATGAGCAAACCTTTAAACCATTATAACGAACAGTGGCTGAACTGCCGTACGAGTGACTAAGATATGTTATTGCTTTGCCCATTTGTGACATTCTCCCCCTTAACTCTTTCCACATCTAAGAATACATTGAGTGTTTATTCTTTAACTTAATTTTTCTTCTTACAGCGAGTTAATGGTGCCATGGAAACTAATGTTAATGGATATGGCATTGGTATACTAGATATATATGGATTCGAAATCTTTGAAAGGAATGGCTTCGAGCAGTTCTGCATCAACTTTGTTAACGAGAAACTGCAACAGATCTTCATCGAACTGACCCTCAAGGCTGAGCAGGTAGGACGTGATTCATCGCTTTTAATAACATTTTGGGGAAATATTTTGATCAGCAGCTTTTGAAGTAGTACTCTGCTCTGTTGAACTACCATAGTTGTTGAATTTTGCATGTTTCAAAGTGTAATGATAATACAAGGAACGTAACTGAAGGGTGCAGTTTCAAAACTTGCTGTATCCATTTTGACAATGTTCTGGGAAAATAGAATTTATTTTTGAGGTAGAGCGTTACAGTAATGCATTTGGTATTTTGAGTTTTAACACTCTTTATATTAGAAACTAATGAGGTGATTTAAAATAACATGGCTTTTAATCACCCAATTTCAAGGCTTCAGAAAAAAAGTTGTCGTCTTATTGGATTTGCATGTGACAAACAGAGGACAAACCGTGCAGGAATCTTAGAAAAGGTGATTTAAACACCCATATTATGGGGCTGCTGGCTGGACTTTAACTCTGGGGATAACGGTTTAGCGGCGTGGTAGGGCGAAACATGGCCGGTTGGACCGTGCATAAGATGTGACGTACAGTTGGTGATGAAGGTTAATAGGAAAATAGTGTCCTCGGTAAATTCAGGTACTTATGAGTTATTGATTGTGCACTGTTGTTAAGTATTCCATTGAAAAAGAAAATGAGATCCGTGGCGTAACAGCTCCAGAGATCCAAAGGCGACTAGCTTGACTGCTGGCCTCACGTTCACATGCCTAGGCAGAGGTGAACGATCATCCAACCAGATGTAGGGTGACGTGTGGTCAGCACGACGAACCCCCAGCCATTGCTGGTTTTCGTGACCGGATTACGCTACTCATTGTAGCTCCCCAATTTCCTCACGATTCTGGGTTGGCACTGGTCCCATACACTGGTCGAAAGCTCATGAGAAAATTTCTTTTCCCCCGAGACTTGAACCAGCGCGCATTCCATATCGCCGGTCCGAAGCATGATGCCTCAACCGCGCGGCTATGGCGCGGGAACTAAGTATTCCATTACCTGTGCTGAAAACACTAGGTATCGACTCCTGAAGGAAAACAAAGTGCGAGAAATAAACAGCATTGATCAGGCAAACATTCATTTAATGTCACTGTTCTTTGATCTTATTATTGAGTCTCGTGGTTTCCATAGCTGTCGAAATCTGTCATTATTATGAGGAGCAAAGTGAACTATAATCCTTCGAAGGTGTTCTTCACAAAAGACACACGGTGTATGAGCAAATCCCCTAGAAGGGCATCATACACAGTTTTTGGTCTTGTTTACATTTAGTAGACGGTAATATAAATATATGTAGTTCATTTCTATTTATGGTTTATTTAATAGCTGCCAGTATCTCAGATTATTATATTATCGTAGTGTTGAATGATAATATGATTAGTGAAAATAAATTTGAAAAGATTTGGAATTATGTGGTTGTGACCCATTATAAGATAGTGTCTTGGAATTTTCCTGGAGAGACTGAGCAAATACACAAAAATTTCAGTCAGGATGGACAGTATCTGGGCTGAGATTTGAACACAAGATCTCCTGAATTTGAACCAGAGTGTTCACAAACGACTCGAACAATTTGGTGTTAGGCTGAGATGTGTAGCAGGTGAGATCAGGGAAAAATAAGCAGTTTCTTCTGTCTTTTGTTTCTTATTAATGCCCCACACACACACACACACACACACACATATATAGATATATACACACACATCATGAAACTTAAGTCACCGTCAGTTTTTTCTTATATCATGTTTGGTAAGAGGTCTGTCCTATGGGCAGCGTTCTTATGTGTCGCCACTGCAGACGGCGTATTTAAATATGCCTGTCTCAAATCGAGACCGTCCGTATCCATTTGCCGGGTGACCCAGAGTAATTTGAACTGTGGTAGCCCAGGCACTTGTTCGACTTCGTGGTACTGGGGTGTGGAGCTGTGAGCGAGAGGCTGCGTCGGTGGAGGAATCTGTTTGGGTAGCTCACTGGATGTGACAATCATGAAACTGAGGCCGTTGTGTTCAGGAGACAAAGTTGGAGGTTCTGGATCCCGATTATGTCGCGAGTATGCCTGCAGCTCAGACGAGGGTGGACGGGGAAGAACGACGGCTTCTGCGCAACTTTTATGTCCAAACATTTTGAGCGCACACAATGCAGCGATCAGCAGCCATGTTTGTTGGTTGGCCATTCTGTAAAGAAGGAATATATGTAGTGGATGCACCTGTGAGTTTATAGCGAGAATGGGGATTTCTTCTTTGGTCTAGCTTGGTTGTGGTGGTTGCAAAAGTTATGGAGAAACCTGCTGTCGCAATTTTTATATCAGTCTTGAAGATGGAGACAGCAGGCTCCTCTTCAATAATGGTAACACCTTATATGATTATATGGTGTTGCAAGAAAGAAAAAACTTTTACTGCTGTGAAAACCTCAGGTATTATGTTGTATTTTACTCCGTATTATGAATTTTGGAATTAATTTTTGTCAAGGAGTTCAGCACGAGTCGGACAAGATAAGGTAAACGAAGAAAATAATTTATATTTGCAATAAAATGAACATTTAAAAGGCAGGGAATTTTATTACTTAGTGAGCAATAATTAGTTTGTCATGAATAACTCTGCTCCATGGAATTAGCTTAGTTTTAATGAATATTAATTCAATTCAATTCATTTATTTAAGTGTTTGCCAACAGCAAGAAGCCAATAACACGCAAACACTGATAATACATACAAATACAGGCAAGCCCAAAATAGAAACAATATTGTATAGAAAGAAAAATAAATGAAAAAATATAAATAAAAAATAATCCACCTAGGGAACACTAATATAAATGTAAAACGTTAAAGAAATACAAAAAAACAGAATTTCCCTTATTGAGAACGTGCCCTCAAGGGAGACAATGTTTATGCTAAATACGTCCAAAGATTTACATACGTCATTTGCAGCGATGACGCATCTGTCTGAAGGACTATGTCTTAGCGCACTGCTCACACTAAAAGTAGAAAATTCTCTTATTTGCCTCGCCGGCACACGTAAACCAACAGCGTCCACAATGGAATGACAATTTACTTTGCCCTTAAAGACATTAATAAGAAATAACGCATCGAGATGTCGTCGTCTCGAATAAAGTGTTCTGAAATTTAAAGTAGATCAAATCAATTCATATTTGCGTTAGAAGCATAATATAAATTTGTGCTTGGGAGATACTAATTTTCTTTCTAGTTGAGTTGGAATTTTATTGGAGAATTTATTTCTGGTGTGCAGTTGGGAAACGCCTTATGTAGAGTTCTTTCCCCCAAGGACTGAAAAAAAATCCTTGTTCCATATTTGATCCTATAACAGGAAACCAAAATTGACATATGATATCGAGTTATTTGCAGAAAGTGCATAAATTCATGCATAATGACAAGGTAATGTCCATTTGCATTCCCAGAATTAATGAGTAATATTTGATGACATTTGGAGGTCTGCACTGCTAATTGTCTATAAATGTAACTTTGGTTAACACAAGTCCAATGTTATGCAAAGCTCAAAAATGACTCTTTGTATAAAAAAATTGGCAAAGAAGGGCCGATCCCTCATCTAAGGCGTCCTACCAAATGTCGATAGATCAAGCCAACGAAAAGTTGGGACCCGCAGTGCTCAGGCACTTGAAGAACGGGTCGATCCCAGTACCATGAACACTATGTTGGAGTCGAGTTAAGCCTTGTATCGACTGCGCGCGGCTGCCTCGCAAAGTCGATACCATGTTGCCACGCGTAGCAGAACGAACACTGCCGCGCTCGAACTTGGCTCGCGTCGAGCCAAATCTGAGCGGTTCTTTGTCCCGCGGCAAAGGGATTTCACTGTGCTGTATTCATGGTGATCTTGCGAGAACTGACGAACAGCGTCGATCACAGCCGAACACGGTTGCCGCGCTCGATGCTGGTAACCACGAGCACAATGAGCGAACGAACGAGTTTGCCGCGCACGAACAGGTGCGCGAGGCAGCCGCGCGCAGTCGATACAAGGCTTTACATGTTTACAAGAACAGATTGTTTCTGCCTTATTCAGCCCCAGGGCAGGAAGGTTAGTCCTTGTCAGCTGTTGGCAGGCGACTGCTGCTTCAATGTATTTACGGTTGCCCTCAATTTATTCGTGGAACACAGTTTGGAAATCCCTGGCGTAGATTTTATTGCGTGGACTGAAAGAAGGCCGTGTTTGATCCGAGGGACTGATTATCCACTGCCGTATAAAAGATGCGTTTGTATCCCACAGTGAAAATCTTTAACAGCCCACTCTCTTTCCTGTACTCTGAGCGTTCATTTCGTGACTGGTGATCAGTGTAAGCTACACAGGTGGGCGGTGCTGTCCACTTAAAATGTAACTCTTACACCATGCTTTATACGAAATGAATTATTATTATTATTATTATTGTTCGTAATTGCCTGTTGCTGTTTCCCAACTAAAAACACAAGTTTTGAACTTTGAAAGTTAACTTGCTCGAAACATTGTTTCAACTGCTTGTGGATTTCTTGTCACTGTTAGTGTAAAAAAAAGATTCCTCTTTAAATCTCCCTCAAATTTATGCCAAAAATGCCGATTGCCATCCGATTTCGTCTGTACAATCTTGGCTGTGTTCATAATACCATTTTACGTACTATAGGCGTCTATTTCTCAGCTGTTCGCCATTTTTCTCTAATAATAATATTTTCAGATTTCTCGACTCATTTTGTTACGTATTTACGCAAAATGGCGAAATTACGATAATAAATCAATTTCCGAGTCTAAATAAGCGAACAAAATGAACTTTGGAATCAGGGTTTGGCAAGATTCTGAATATGGGCTGGATACCTGTTGTATTACAAGTATGGTTTATACAAAAACCGACTTTTGAAAAAAAACGGTTTTCGAATCCCAGTATTTCCAAAAAACCGGTTTTCGAATTTTTACAAAAAAACAAACAAAATATAATGAAAACAGTAAAAAAATGTTTATACCTATTTTAAAATTTTTCAGGTTATTTAATATTATGGAACTACAAAAATATAACAAAATAAAATATACTCCATACAAAACCAAATAAAAAAGTTACAGTGGAACCACTGTTCCGGAGAATTTGACGTAAATACGTCTCTGTATTTAAATTATATTTATGTCTCTGTAATGTAATGTAATGTAAAGTAAAGTAATGTAATGTAATGTTATCTTCAATGTCATCCATCTTGTTACGAAAGCAGATTGTTGGCGGCAGTAATGTAACACAACAATGACGTTTCCTATGTAACATAACAATGCACGCAAGCTGACCATTGTTGTCGGTGCATATTTACACATTGTTGTTGATTTGTTGATACGGATCTTACACATTTCTCTGTCGCTTTTTCGTAACACTTTTTTGCGGAATGACCGTTCCATATAGACGTATTTACGTCAAAAATAAAATAACTAAAATCCGTACAAAATATAAATTATAAATTTTTATGTCATTTAGTATTTTTCTTCCGGAAATATGATTTCAAAAACATAAAATGTCCACTGAACGATTACGCAATCTTGTTCTTATTCTAGATACAAA